ACCAAACGACCTCCTTATGGTGAATGGACCCCGTGCAAAAATAACCCTATTTGGCCCATCTGATTTCGATGGGCCACAATTTTCTTCTTTGTGTTTATTTCGTGTCCTTTAACTAGACCATACGCCCGAAGGCTACCAAAAGATATCATTGCATTTGAATTTGGAGTCAGTTAACTGATACACTGAGCATGAAATGGATGCATGGAAAAAGCTACCACCGCACTTCATTTGACGATGTTTCAGTGAACCCTTTCTAAGCCAATAGCACTCAGAGGCCTTGCTAAATTTGTATGGGTGCTACAGATATTGAAGACCCGTAAACGTAGGCTGTAGATCGAAACGCGGACAAAAATTGGTATCAACAAAACCATCCCATATTCGGCTGGGAATTTTCCAATTTCATTCAACAACGACAAGTAAGTACGCTGTTAAACATGGTTTTGAATACGCGCGCTCGCAAGTCTTCGAAATTAAAATCCCGACGCCCGTCGTTGCAGTCTCACTCGACTGTGCGGCGTCGGCCCCGTGGCCAACACTAGACAGCGGCCAGTGAGCGGACAAGAATGATGATGCATGTCAAAAATGCTCTTGTAAACGCTTAGGAAATAAATTCCTGGTCGTTTAAAAGGTAGCCCAGGCGTATGCTTTGCCAACACGATTTCTAGATTGGTATTAGAAACGGATTAGCGTTTTAGCACCCCGAACTAGGGCTAGAATCTGGCGTCGGAACTGAAGGAGTAAAGCTATACGCTTTATTTTTCGTGTTGCTGCAACTGCTAAACCATTCAGAGTATGCTCTCAACAACATGCAAGTAAAATATATGCCCCATTCAAAGCTTTAAAGAGCACAAATTGATTTTGAAAGCCTTCCTTCGGTGGCATTATTTCCAGACGGTCGTCCCCGCGCGCCCGACACCCGCCGCCTGGTTTGAACTGCAGCGGCCAATGCCGCTCGGTTGTACTGAAACTGCAAACCCGGCAATAGGTGTTCTCGCCCCTAATGTTGCGAGCGCGCAGACTCAAAACTGTTTACGTCATTTGCTACACTAGTCGATTCTGGAAAAGGATGGACATCTTCAGGCAAGCAAGGGTAAATCTTTTATCATTTCAAACTTCCTTTCGGTCCACTCGATTGAAAGCCTATGAGACCCCTACCTTTTCCAGTCAAGGGGTCCCCCATAGGTAGAAAGAACACGCGGGGGATATTACCGATCCCGGTCAGGGGCTGCAGTACCATCCCGTCCCAGCGTGGAGTGACTGCCAGCTGTCATTTTGGCCACGGGAGGGCGCGGTCCCCTGGTCGATATGGAAGTCCATAGAGGGATACATCAATCATTGGCCCCTGCCTGACGCCGTAGGCCCTCCGACCCGGGCATTTGACCCCAGGTCGACGCAGGTACCCTTATTGACGCAATAAGATATTTAATTGTTTGAAGTATATTCATAAGAGGTCCAATTAATTGACCAAGAGACTCCAGGTCGGATTGACGGCTCCTTGCCTGAAACAGGGTGGAGGCCCCTCGTTCGGTGCTGGGACCCGTCACTAACGCAGGGCCCTCCCGTTATCTTATTGTGGACTCTCGCCACAGGTAAACAGGGTGGAGGCCCCTCGTTCGGTACTGGGACCCGTCACTAACGCAGGGCCCTCCCGTTATCTTATTGTGGACTCCGCCATACTGGGACCCGTCACTAACGCAGGGCCCTCCCGCTATCTTATTGTGGACTCTCGCCATAGGTAAACAGGGTGGAGGCCCCTCGTTCGGTACTGGGACCCGTCACTAACGCAGGGCCCTCCCGCTATCTTATTGTGGACTCTCGCCATACTGGACCAGTCACTAACGCAGGGCCCTCCCGTTATCTTATTGTGGACTCTCGCCATAGGTTTACATCTATCCTTTCTTTGTTAGAGGGCCACGACCAACGCATTAGCCTCTCTGACATTCGGGGTCCCGTCCCTCTGCCGGTTCAGTGAATACTTCTCTGGCCGACTCGGATCCCTTCCGAGCAGGAACCCGTTAGCCACTACGGGCCCCGAAACGACACAGGGGTCCCTCGTGTTTCAGGGGCCCCGAGCAGTGCAAAGTGCGGGCTCCGGCCCTGGGCAGTGGGCTCCCAGCGTTCACACGGACACGGAGCCAACTGTTCGGTGGTGGTGGTCTTTGGCCGAAATAGAAGCCGGCATTGTCTCAGCGTGTCCCCATTCGGTGCAAGAGGCCCTCTGGCTGGCATTTGAAGCTCAGCTCATAGAGCCGGTGTCCTTAATGTGACCTTTAGGCCTTTTGGGCCCTTCCACATAAAATCGGGCAATTGATCGCTGGTCCTGAGGGACACTTGGGCCCTCTTCGGGCGCCCTCGACCACTTCGCCTGACGGACTCGGGGACCATTACCAATAAAGGATCCCTGCTAGGCACTGTGGGCTGCTGGCCAGCACAGGGCGCCCCTCATTGACTCAGGAGCCCGACCATTGTGATTCGCGGGTTCCGGCCTTATTCCTGCATGAGAAATAAACAGGCCCGCAGGCCTAAGCCGACACGCAGCCGATAATTTGGTGCTGGTGGTGCCTGATTACCAAAGAGGGCTTTATCGACTCAGGAGAGCCCCAATCGGCGCAAAGGGCCTTAGACTGGCATTTTAGGGCCCGGCCCTGCGGACCGGAACCCTTAATACGTTCTTTGGCCAACGCCCTGGGCCCTTAAATCAGGCCCAGAACAAGCCCTTAAATCGGCCCTTACATTATATTTACAATGCATTTAATTGGCCGATGCCATAATCTAAATCGTGTCCTAAATGGCCCGTAGGACAATGTAGGCCCAAGAAGAGGCGCATGCCCCTGTGCTGCCTCCCCTGCCTGCGCCACTATGTGGCAGCGACCGGCTCTGGTGTCCGGCTGGTTGCCCTGACCTGGACTGATGGAGGTTGCGCAGCGCGGTGCGGCCCTCCTCCAGCGCCGTCTGCCGCTCAGCCAGCTGGGCTCGAGTCCAGTCCAGCTGGTGGTCGGCGCGCCCGTGCGCCAGCCGCTCCATCTCCAGCTGGTGCTGGCTCGCCTGCAGCTCGCTCTGCAGCAGCTTCACCTCATCCCGCGTCCTGGCGTGCACACCGGGCATCACTGTGTGAAGGCACGCACTCCAGGTCACACAGGCGCCACTGCGTTAGCAGGGTGTCACCGTATGCACCGGGCGTCGCTCCTCAGGCAGCGTGCTCAATCGTGCACACCAGGCGTTACCGCTTATATCAGGACTC